TGGTACTAGAAAACACCTAAACTTGCATTTTTCTATGGTATGGCCTTTCTTGCAGCAATAATGACAAACCAATCTATGACGAGCTTTACTTTTTCCATTAGAATCCTTAATCAAACAATAATTTTTATGAGACCTTTCAACCTTTAAGGAGCTAATAGAAAGAGCATCACATGGTTGTGAAGCCTTGTGCACTTTGGTTTCAAGAGAACTTACTTCTTGTTGCCAAATTTGTCAAGTTTCACAACCGAACCAACATGGTTCCTCATCCCCATTTTTATATTTTTGACCATCTACAATAGATTGCTTTAATTCTTCAAGTTGCGCTTCGGTTTCTTCAACCTTTGATTCCAAGTATGTAAAAACTGTTTCTTTGGAATCTAATTTCTTGTAAGCATAAGTCATTTCCTTTTGTAGATTTTCAAAAACTTTTTTCAAATCAATAAAAGACAACTTGTCAATGTTAGAGTATTTAAAATGACTTACATTCTTTTTCTTGCCTTGTCGTTGATTAGCCATGAAATAATAATTTTCTTCTTCATCGCTCTCACTTGAGCTTTCCTCGCTTGAGGAATCACTTTCACTATTCCAAGCAACATAGGCCTTTCTAGGCTTCCTAGAATTATTTTGTTGACTTTTTCCTTTCTTACTAATAAGAGATGGACAATCCGGTCTAAAATGACTCGGCTTTTCGCATTCATAGCATATACCTTTTCCTTTGTTCTTTGTGTTGTCTTCATCTTTGGAGGATAATGATTGTCTTTTGAATCTCACAAAAACATTTTAGAGTGTTTAACATCATTCTTTCAAATGTATCGATTATATCTCCTAACAAAAGCCTCATTTGCTCCTCATCCGAGTTTTCTTCATCACAAGAATCATTATCATTAGCTTGCTCTTCCTTTGAGGATCTATAATTTGAAGCCTTAAGAGCATTAGACTTCATTCCTTCCTCCTTATTTGTTTCCTTCTCCTTTTTCTTCTTTTTCTCTAGCTTCTTTTCATGTTCATCCAAGCAATTTAGTTCTTACTCGTGTTCTTATAACTTTTCGAACAAGATGGTGATATCAAGTGTTGCAAGATCGTTCGCTTCCTCGATGGTTGTTACCTTCGGTTGCCAATTTCTAGTAAGACATCTCAAAACCTTGTTAGTAGCAATATCATTAGAAATAGGATTACTTAGCAAGTTTAAACGGTTAATAAGATGTGAGATCCGCTTTTGCATTTGAGCAATGGTTTCACCGTGCTTCATGTGAAAGAGTTCGAACTCTTGATTAAGTGTATTAATTTGGGCTTGTTTGACCTCATTAGTTCCCTCATGGGAAACATGTAGAGCATCTCACATAGCTTTAGCGGTTGTACAATGTGAAACACGATAAAACTCATCGACACCGAGAGCGGATATCAATATATTTTTCGCTTTCCAATCGTGTGACCACTTCTTATTATCTTCCTCATTCTATAGTGCTTCAGGCTTAGGTAAGGTAACACCTTCCACAACATGTGTGATTGGTGTAGGTCCATTTTGAATGACCTTCAAAACAGCTTTATCATAAGAATTCACATGAATTTGCATACAAGCTTTCCAATAACCATATTTTTCTCCCGTAAAGATTGAAGCTCTTTTATAATCCTTTTTAGGTTCGTGAGCCATTTTCTAATAAGTGTTTTGAAGCACAAAATGAACCAGGCTCTTGATGTCACTTGTTAGATGACAGCGACTTATCTAGAGAGGGTGAATAGACCACCAATCAAAAAATGACCAAATAAAATTTAGGTTTTAAAGTTGTTTGAAAAAGAGAGCACGCGGAAGGTTTTGGTGTGGATCGACAAAAGTCGTCTAGACGAACCTAGTTATTGGAACTTGGATATGCAAAGCCAATTATGGAATGACAAACACAATAATCGAATTCAAACTTTAATCGAGTATCATGTTATTACTCATTTAAAATAATTACTTAGCAATGCTATTTCCAATGACAATGAGCAAAAATATTAAACAATGCAATTTATCAAACACTTGGTGTGCGAATGAATTTTCAGAATTTCATTTATGTTGTTGTTGATATGAAAACCGCTTATAATCAAAAGTGATTATAAGCTAAACAACAATTAAGTTAAAACAGAAAGATTACATGAAAATTCTTACGAATCAATCGATCGTTCAATGCTATTTGATAAATTATGTAATAAAAAATAAAGCGATTAAAGAGATAATAGAGAGATCGACACGAGGATTTGTTCACGCAGTTCCCCACTTTCGTCCTCGCATGTGGGTATGTCTGCACCTAATTTCTAATGTAGAATTATGATACTTTCTTACTATGCAAAAAGTTGATATACAAGAAAAGTGTTCAGAGCAACCATACAAACACAACCGGTTCTGATGTTGATTCAACCCATTTTCTTCTTTTGATCTTGAGTAAGACCAAGACAACAATGGATGTCAATTGACTTGTTGATATTGCTACTCCTTTGTATTGTTTGCTCCAATGTTTTTGCGCACGACAATTGCACCGATTGTTCCACAATACTTCAATTCGATTCACTGTTTTCCACTACTTCCTTTGCGTTTTTTAATCTCCAAAGGGTCCTTTGCGTTCTTTATCTCCAAAGTTTTTCACAATGTCGCAATCCTCTCTTGAACGTCTTGCACGAAAACCCCCAAATCTTCACTCGATCTTGGAGGATAAACCCGCAGTTTTTCCAGATGATGACCCCTGCAAATCTTAACACAATATCTCGGTTATATAAGAACTTAATTGGACCTTATTAGGAGTTCACCTACCTGGCACCCCAACAAAAGATTATTACGTGTGATTTTTCAGTGTGTAGACATAGGAAGGAGGTTGAATATGATGAGAAAATGCAGACTAATTTTATGATATCACTAGTTTGAAATGAAGCATGAATGAAATATTTATAGTTTTGGAAGTTTGGTGGCAAAGAGGTAATTTTTGGAGTAAAAAATATTGACAGAACTGGCCAACTTAACAGCATGAGCCGACCTAAACGATGGATGTGTCGACACATACTGTAAAAAAATAACAACATATGCCGACCTGAAATGATACATGTGCCGACCCAAGGGAAACATAACCTACAACCTTATTTAGGACAGTAAATGTGTCGGCCTGAAACACGTATGTGTCGGCACATACTGATATAATTTCTAGTTTGTGTCGACCTGAAGAAGGAATGTATCGACCAGAAGGAAACAGAAGCTACATGCTTTAATATTGAGTTACATGTGTCGTCTTGAAATGCGTATATGCCGACATATGTAACACATTTTTGTGCAGAAACAAAACAAAAGCTACAGGCTTCAATATTGAGTTACATGTGCCAGCCTGAAATGTGTATGTGACGACACATGTAATACATTTTTGTGCAGAAATCTAGTTTTCATGTGTTTGGGCTAGTTCAAGGTGGTTTTTAATGATTCCTAAGACCTCTAATGCAAATGAGTCACACATACTCAAAGTTGCTGTCCAATATACCAAAGTGAGAAGTAGTTTCAATGTTTTGACATCATAAAAAATATCTCATGGTGAAATTGCACTCACATAAATGATTCAACAAATCAACAATACTATGATATTACATCCATCAACTTACTATAAGCTTGTGCATACATCATCATAACACAACCATAATCGTTTTTTACAACTTTCTAGACCATGTTGTCTCTCTCTTTAACAAGTCTTTCGATTTTTCTAATCTTTTCAACTTCAGCAATTTCACCTTCTAACCACCTCACCAAAATTCTCTGAAAATGCTCGAATGTCACTGTGTTTCATAGTCAGATCTTCAAAGGGGGTTTTATTGGTGAAAAAACTAGTAAAGCATCTCTTTTGTAAGAGGAGTGTTTGGATTAGTAAAATACTTCATGGTCGGATCCATATTTCAGACTAAAAATGACAAAATTCGCGTACTAGATCTGAGATTTAGAGATTACACACAATGATATTTATAGAAAATAGAATAAATAATTAAATATTTCACTGTTCGTCCTATGGATGGCCGAGCATCATCATGTCATAGTTTATGTTTACTAAATAAAATTAAAACAAAAAAAAGCTAACATACAAGCTAATCAACAATCAACACAAGTGGATCTTCGACTCCTCTGTTAATTGCGTCATTATGTGCTGAAAACATGCATTGGACATCTTAATCATTTTTATACGATCCAAGTAATACATGTACGTATCCTCCAGAATTGCATCAGTCAGCGTTATATACGAACAACAATACTCCATTTTTCTCACTTTCATACGTCAACCACCCAACTGTCGTAAACCTGTGTTAATTGTTTCAATCAGTTCTAGATAAACATTAATTTTTTTTCTTGCTTATAAAACATGAGCATGAATAGACATTTTTAAAAATTGAAATATCTAGCTCGAATTATTTGTGTTGAAAGACATCAATCTACTTGTAGAAAAATATTACAATTAAACTCAATCATTTATCGGCCGAGAACTATAAATACTCGACCACTCATTGAACGAATATCAATTATTTTTTAAAAAATTAGCAAAAAAAATATTATTTTGAAAAGTTAAAAAAATTATTTTAAAAAATTATTCAATTAATAAAATATATTTTTACCAATTAAAATTATTATTATAATTAATTAAACAATATTATAATTTTAAAAAAATAATAATAAGATAATACCTCGTCCATAGATTCGTTGTGTGAGCACATACTATAAATAAAACATCTGGAAAAAGAAATTTTAAAGTGACGATTTTGGAATATAAATTTCAACAATGGGATAGAAAAAAAAATCGTTAACAAGTCTTCGTCGAAAGTAGAAATAGTACAATAATCAAGAAATAAGGATGATATTCTTCATACAATTGATCATTCAAAAAAAATTAGAAAGCATTACACGCAAATTTTTAAGTAGTACTATGAGAAACAAAATCAAAATCCAGCAAATAAACATTCCTTCTTAACATTTTGAAGGTAATTAAAGACCCGCCATTTCCAAATCAACATCCCTTCTTGATGAAAACAGTTGTCAAAACCATCTTAGATTGCAGAGAAGCCTTAAGCAACTTGATTCCCTGTTACCAAAAAAATATATGTAATGTAATTAAAAAAATAAAACAAATTAGAATTTGCACACATAACTAGGTTTGTTGTTTTTACCTCTTCCATGCCCATCTCAACAACCTTTTCTTGTAAGGTACCAATTTCTTTCACATTGAGCTTGTTCAACAGTTTGATGCTTGATATGGTTGACATTGGCTGAATCACCAAATCATCCATCACCACAAAAGTTACAACTTCTTTCACAAACCCATTCTTAATATTTGTGGAAACTTTCTTTTTACCAACCTTACTATTTCTGACAAAAGCTACTTCATGGTTCATTTTCTTCCCGCATGGAGTGTAATCGTCCTCAGGGTCAGACTCATCCTCAGAGTCAGACTCATCCTCAGAGTCAAACTCATCAGAGTTAGTAGAACATGGAGTTGTGTTATCATATGTAACCTCAAAAGCACATTTATTTGGACACATATATAGTTTAGTTTTAATGTCATTGACAGCATTCTGGGTAAGAAATCCTGAGATTACAGTGGAAGAGCTTTGAGCTTTTGGGTTTAAGAGTACATCTTTAGTTTGAAATGGTTGCATGTAATTCTGGTTCAGATTTTCAACACTCTCATACAGATTTCCTAAGCTTCCAACCATGCCTTTTGTACCTAGGAGCTTTACCACAGTACTAATAGGCAAACATAGCAAGCTGAAGAGAAAGTCTATGACAGGTTTTGAAGCTTCAGCAAAGAGAACTTTGTTATTCTTTGTGTCGATAAGAAGTTTCATGGACACTTTGGTGGAAGAAGAAGAAGAAGCAGCCATATTATATTGAAAGGCAGTATAATAGACTTAATACGAAAAGCTATTCATTTATAGACAAATAACTACAACGAGTTGAGCATGGTTGCAAGATTAATTGAATAAACAAGGGAAAATCTATCTATATAATATTGTAAAGTAAAACGTTCACTTAGTTGATGTGATTCGCTGCAGAAAAGTATAGATGTTATGATTACTAATGTACAGTAAAACGCCGCAACATGTCAAGCTCATCCATTTTAATGCAATGGACACAAATATCAATCACCATTCACCATGACAGGTTATGATCCATTATTTTAAAAGACATACTAGTAGTTCCAAATACATTTGCCAAAGAAAATCCACAAGTCTTGACGCATATATCTAAAGTCAAATCATGTTTTGCAAGCCCATATGCCACTAGAGTAGCGTCTCTAAAAATATGGTTCTAAATCACCTTCACTTTACTATTATAAATTTGATGAATTTTCTTTATCCAAGGCCTATGGAAAGCAACACCAGTATTTCTTTTTTACTGCCGCACTCTAGAAACCAAAATAAATTTCTCAAATGTTTTAAAATGATTTTTACCCTTCAAAGCAACCTACTTTTTAAATATTAATGAAATCAATATTTTAAAAAATAGATCTGTTTTTTTGTAAATAAATAAAAATAGATCGGTTATAAATTGGTGAGGACTTTGGGACGTTTTTACACAAATATCCTACTCTGGAATTAAATATTTCAAAATGCCTTACTAAAAAAACAAATTAGAAAAAAAATTATAGAAGTGCTCTACATGTAGTGCATGCTCGTTCAATGAAAAGGCGATTGTGTGAAAAAAATTTAGGTCGTGCATGTGCTTGTCCAATGGGTAAACTGAAGGGTATGTATTTTTTTTTTTATTTATTTATTTTATTTATTTAGTGAAATATTTATAATTTTAATATTAAAAATTATATTATAAAATATTTTAATAATTTTAATTATACTTAGTTATATTACTTTTATTTTAATTATATTAATTTTAATTTAATTATATATTATATTATATTATATTAATTTAATTATATATTATGTTATATTAAATTAATTTAATTATATATTATGTTATATTAAATTAAATTAGTTATATATTATGTTATATTAAATTAATTTAATTATATTATGTTATATTAAATTAATTTAATTATATATTATGTTATATAAAATTAATTTAATTATATTATGTTATATAAAATTAAAAAATAATGACTGATGTTTGTACATGGAAGTGTGAAGTTTTTACAGAGTTTCGGTTATTGAACGACCGAGCTCAAACGTAACTTTTTTTTTATATAAATAGACGTATTGCGCATCAATACATATCATTCGTGTACAGTGATCCGTGTTATAAAAATGTCTGTCCGAGCTCTTGTTTTCTATGAACAAAAAAAAATCAGTGTTTACCTAAATTCGCAGTGGAATTTCAGAACCGTGGTTGCTGCAATTAACACGGGGTTTCGGCAGTTGGGCGGTCGTCGCATGACGGTGAGAAAAATGGAGTATTGTTGTTCGTATATAATGCTGACTGATGCTAGCCCGGAGGGTACGTACATGTATTACTTGGATCGTATAGAAAATGACGAAGATGTCTATTGCATGTTTTCAACACATAGTGGCGAAGTTAACAGAGGAGTCACATATCCACTTGTGTTGGTTGCTGTTGTTGGTTAGCGTGTATGTTAACTTCCTGAGTTTTATTTTTAACTTTATGGTTGTAATTTGCTAGTATTGCTGTAATTTGAAAGTTGTCTTGAATTAAAAATAAATGTTGGATCACATACAAAACTAGTACGATAAAATTATCTATGCGGTCGGTTTGACGGGTCGGCAACATTGGGACATTTTCTACGCATATGACCTATTTCTCTGCAAATCCCACACTTTCTCTTCTCTTTTTCAGCGTCGTCTATCTCAGTTCTAATTCTACTACTGGTTGGACGTCCCTTTTATTTCTTCTCATGGAATCTTCGTGGCATAGAGTAAAACCTTCATATTTTGTCCAATTCTCCTCGTGTGGTATTCCCATGAAACTTTCTTTGTAGACTTTGAATATGTTGAGTACTGTGAAGACCTCTGGAATGTGAATTGTGTAGTCTTGTCGTATGCTAGAACATGCTGCAATCACGTGGGAGTAAGGCAAGTGAAATGCTTGAAATTTTCCACAGTCACACAAACAATTCCTCAGGTCAATGCTGAAAGTACCCGTTGGACGACCATCGTTTTGATTAATTTTTTCCTGCACCATGATATAGAATCTTTCCTGCAGCCATTCCCTTGTTACAACCATCTGTGAAAATTTTTCCTGTAGATAGCATTTTGGTTCATTTGTGTCCTCGCTTACCAAAGAGTGAACTCATTCGATAGTATGTAGAATGGACCAAAGCAGTGATTGGAAGGTTTCTTGTTGCCTTTAGTACAGAGTTTATGGCCTCTGTCAAGTTAGATGTCATATGTCCTCAACGTTGCCCTCCGTCAAATGCTCTATCCCACTTCTCCCTAGGTATGTTGTCTATCTAATTTGAAGCCTCAATGTTTGTTCTTCTGATTTCTCCGCGATAGTAGTTAAATGTAGCTTCCGCCAATGCGTAACCTATAATTGAAATTGTATGAAAAACATAATAAAAGTGTGATACAAAACTTGAGATAAGTGAAATGTATTTTGTTACCCATGTTAATAAGTTTTTTGTGTAGATCCTTGTCCTTAATCTCGCGCATGAAGTTCAGAGCAATGTGTCTAATGCAGTAGACATGTGAAAATGGTGGATGTTGCCATCCGTTTTCGGGATTGTTATATGCACTCTTTATCGATTCATGTCTATCATAGATTAGGCACAAATTAGATTGTGGTGTCACATGTAATCTCAGGTTCCTTAGAAAAAAGCTCTATGTTTCCTTTGTTTCACCTTCGACCAATGCGAATGCTATTGGGAAAATATTTGTGTTACCATCCTGTGCCACCGCCATCAATAGAGTTCCTCTGTACTTTCCATATAACCAAGTTCCGTCTACTTGCACAGTGGGCTTATAGTAGGCGAAGCCACGTATACACAGACGAAATGTCCAAAACAGACGATGGAATATTTGTTTTCTAGAGATTTGGGAACCATCATTTGAAATTGCAGGTAGGGTTTGCAAATCTATAATGGTTCCTGGAAGGAAGGTTTTCATTACCAATATCCACTGTGGCAGGTCATTGTAAGATGTTTCCCAATTGCCATATAGCGACTCTATGGCCTTACACTTAGCGATCCATGCTTTAATGTAAGATATTATGTACCTGTATTTTTCAAGAATATGGGCAATGATCACTTTCGCCTTAAGTGACGTGTCTCGGTTGACAAGTTCTCTGATGCTATGGCTAATCATTTCTAAACTGAGCTTTCTATGGTCTTGTGCCATAGACGTTGTAGTGCATATGTGAGACCCATACAGCTTAACGATCGCCCATTTTGAGTTCCTTTTTCTCAAGGAAGCTCTGCACTTGAAACTACAATCTTGTTTCTTACATTTAATTACATATCGTTCATCGTCAGATTGATAAACCCAATAGTCAACACTGTGTGTTATGTGCCAATGTTGCAAAGTGAAGACGCAAGCTTCCTTGTTTTCAAACTCCATCCCAATATGTATTTCCTCACCTATATGGTTTGGAATGACACTTCCAAACACAGAGGTTCTCTCACCTTGTTCGAAACATATATTTTGCATATGTGCAGGTGGGTTGTACAAACTTATTGGTTGTGCGTGAATCGACTGCGTATAGGCGATAACTATATCTTCATTGTCTTCGTCATCGTTGTCACCAAAAATATCTTGCATCCTGACCTCCTGAAGATCGTCATCGCTTGCTTCTCCAACCTCTTCATTTGGTATGAAGGGTTGATTGTTTTGTGTTGGTTTGTCGTCGAATGTTTGACTCATTCCATAGCGGTGTGACTGTGTCTCTTGCATCAGAAATGTTTCGGCATTGTCTAGTAGTCAGACATACAACTCAATTGTAGGTAACTGACCAAACATCATGTGGCACCGAAACATTGCCTCCACGTCTTCGTCGTTCTTGATCGGCGTCATTATGTAAAAAATTGTATAGTCGTCTTTGTTAAGTATAGGATGACGATAAATTATCTCCTTAACGCATTGTGCTAATTTTTTTTCCATTTTATCTTTCAAATGGAAAAAATCAAAACTGATATGAATTTTGAAGGCGTAGATATATGTGTTGCTGAATGAGAATCCAACGGTGCTATTTGTTGAAACAACGCTATTTAAGTGGCACATGAGGATTATATTTCTCTAAGACATATTTGAAGTGTAAGATATATGTTCTTCTTAATGCAATTTGGAGTTATGATACAAATAATAGGATACACATAATTATATAAGACATACATTAAATGAAGTGAAAAGAAATGCCCATTTGAGCTCGCCCACTCAAAGGAAGAGCATGCTCACGTGTAGGCCTTGCTCGTCCACCCATTGGACGAGCACACTCTTGTGTTGTATCAATTTGTCCACTCAATGGGTGAGTGTGTGAAGCTTGCTAAAAATAATTGTGTTGCATGCAAGAGACATGTTGTAAGACCTATTCTTTTTAGCTTTGCATGCATGCCAATATGTAAGACCTAATTTATAGTACCAAGGCCATGCAATTGTCACTTCATGCAGTCACATTTACACTACCATGCAATTCATGTATAAATTCTGATTTACCACAACCAAATTTCTACACACAATTTTATTTCAAACACAAATCATTCTAACTTCAACAAACTCTCTTGCATTTCTTGAAAATTCCTGATACTCAGTCATAATGGCATTGTTGTGGATGGGCGATGAACACCGTGGAACACAACAAAATATTGAAGCTAGTGTAAGTTTTTCTCTATTCAAGTGCATTCAAAAATAATGCTTATAGTTGCTTGGTTAAATATTATTTCATATCAAAAATATTGATTACATTTTGTTGTTTCAATATT